ATATACACACACACACACACACACATACATACATACACATACATACATACATACATACATATATATATATATATATATCTGTCAAGTAAGGAAAACACAACATGCATTTGACAAAAATGACTCCAATCCACAAAGTTTATGTCATAACAAATGGGCTGGTCTTCTAAAATCCTAGCACATTTTTAATCTAAAAAGAATAATCACATAACAGCATTTGACAGGATCAAAACAACTTACCAAACAACAAAGGCATTCAATTGTTTTTAGCTAACCATCTCTATACTGGGTCAGGATTGTTAAAACATTTCCCTTTCCAAATACTTGTGCTTTGCACGAAACAGAATTTCCAATTAATGTAGTAGTTATAAACATAGGACATTAAAAGACTTTGTGTGTGTGTGTGTCTTTGAGTAAGTGTTGACTCCTGGTGACTCCCGGGCAAGTCCTTGCAGTTGTCTTGACAAGATTTTGCAAGTAATTTGCCACTGCTTCCTTTTTAGGGTTGGGAGAGAGTTGATTCAAGATCACCCAGTTTGCTTCATGTCTAAGGCAGTATTAAAACTCACAATCTTCTAGCCTGGCGCTTTAACCACTACACCAAAGTACCTCTCAAAGGACTGCATTATTTCTTAATTATTTAACAGACTACACGGGCCCAGTTTTGTGCATACAGTATTTATATTCTATTATTGCAGCTCCTACTCATATAGCACTCATCTACCCACATTCTAAAATAACACATAAGCAATTAGGGCTTCAAAAAATAAAATGTGAAGTCAACATTCCTGGAATTGCCTAGTAAGATATAGAGTTACCTCTGGTAACTGGGCTTGGAGGCTGGCCTTCTCTGCCAATGCATCATCAATGGACTCCAAGAAACTTCGTTCCACCACATCAAAGGCCTGAGAAAGTATCAGGAATAGATTAATAGAAACAGCCTATTAGATCCCTAAATATTTATAGTCAGCTATATAGAAATGATCAGATGATTATTTCTTCCAAATATTATATCATTTTCTAGGAATTCCCTAAATGTGCCCATGCTGGTATGTTCATACCAATATCTGTGGGAATACATGTAACATCTTTTTTGTTTGTGCCAAAACATCCCACTACTTTCATCAGGACAGTTTCATACCACTCTTATTTTCTCTTCCACTGGACAAACAGGCTGAAATGTCTAATTGACAGTATAAATGAATAAAATAAGCAGATAAAGAAAATAGTAGGAAAAAAATACTACAAGGTTTGAGGGTTGGCTTCAGGGATTCAAAACCGTGAACTTGTGTAATGTTTTCAACTCATTTAATTGTATTCTCTTTATCTGGTTTTAGGAGTTATATGAAAAACAGATTACATTTGAAGTTATATCTTTGCAGAGATATTGAAAATTCAAAAAGGTTCACAAACATTTAAGCACCACTGTAGCATTTCGGTTAATTGTTCAAGCTGCAGTCTTTAGTTTAAACTTTTGAGAGTATGTTTGCTTTCTGACAAAAGGTACAAGGTGAACAGGAAGAGGGACTTGCCAATCCTGAAGTGTCAATTATTAAATTAAGTGTTCTCCAGAAGCTGTATTAAAGGCAGCCTTTAAAAGCATATCCATTTTCTGGGATTTTCTAAAGCCACAAATTATTATTTTTTATCAAACCCTTTAGAATATTTGTGAGTTTTGCCATAAATTTCTTTTTAAACTAAGTTTGCATTTTTAACATATCAAGAGATAGAAATGGGGCATCGATGTTTACTAAAATCTTTGTGACTTTACTAAATGGTACTTGGCTTTATTTTAATAACTTTTAAATTTTAAGAAACTTTCTATTCTACTACTACTATTTTCAAATTCTTAGCATAGTATCATACAATAATGATTCCCGCTACATGAAAATAATACTGAACTTTTGTGTAGTTTTAATTTAAAGATGCACCCTAGAAAAGAAGAGCATGGTTTTTCTAGAGAGAGACAGCCACCAAAGGATTTCATTGGCTAACTTGAGATTATTTCCTGAAGGTTTTAATTTATCAGTGTTTCCACAATTGGCAATTTATTTCATCATTTATGAAATGAGAACTGAGTATAAACCCTTAACAATTGTGTTGGAAAGTGACAAGTATGTCTGTTAAGAGCCCAGCAATTACTTTTATATTCATTCATTCACTCTCTCTCTCTCTCTCTCTCACACACACACACACACACACACACATAATATTATGTATCTTCTATATTATATTTGTATAGCAAAAACATTTTTTATTTCCTTACTTAGCATCATGAGCATCAAAATCCAATATAACTTCAACGAAGCCCAAATATTTGGGCTTCATTGAAGCTATATTGGACTTTGACGCTAAGTCTCATGAATATATAAATTTGTGGAATAATTAAAAAATATTTGAGATGTTCTATTAGAAAACATGGAAAAATCCTGGAATAATTATTTAAATCAAGGATTTTTAATAA